CCTGGATGACGTCACGATGACCCCATGAACTTGAAAAAGGTTTCGGGAACTTCATATCATAGGGCCTGATGACTAGCAGAAATTTGAAGGAAATTGACCAGGTCGAGTTCGAGTAAACGTATACACAAAAAAAGTGTACGGAATAAATAAAAATAAATAAAGAAAGAATAAAGAATAAAGAATAAAGAATAAAGAAAGAAAATTCTAACGAAATCAATAGGTGATCTGTCATCGACAGACCACCTAACTAGACTTTAATTCGTCACTTAGACGAATTAGGTGATACGTATGATAATGGTTTACATAACGAAAAATGCAATACACGATATATTATTTTGTAAAATACTTCTCCCATTTATATGCTTCTCCCATTATGATCTATTTATATGTCAAGATTAAATTGTGTCTCCTTGATCATCATGGATCTAGGGAAGATAGATTGAAACAATATATGACCTTTGACCCTGTGCAGTAACCAGTTACACATTTGACTCTAATTTACATCATGAAGAACATCTTTTGACGATTTTATCTTATTCAAAGAAATGAAAATGTAATTGATAAATGATTATCATCATTATGATAATGATCATGATCATGAGCGCGATCATGACATCTTATTGAAAAAATGAGGGTTGATTTAAATAGCATATAGTCTCAGCTACAACATACTCCAAGCAGAAATATCGACGATATTGCTCAAAACACAGGAATGTAGACTCCAGATTTGAGAAAAAGTCATCTCCCATAGGAATTACACGCAAAAAGTAATGGATTAAGTGAAAATAGGGTAATAATAAAGTAAAAAGGGTTGTTTATGACATTATTTGCGATTCTACGTGTTTAAATAATCAAAGGAGATGGTACAGTGAAGGTCAAAAGGAAAAAAAAGTGAAGAAACAAATTGTTGGAGACACCCGGACTCGAACCAGGGATCTCGAGGTTGGAAGTCAAGTGCGTTACCGATATACCAAAACATCTCCCATAGCGATTACACATAAACGGGAAATGGAATTCTGAAATCCTACTTTGCAAGTGATATATGAGCATGATCCCGGCATCTAATCGAAAAATAAAGAATACACTTGTGATAGCTCATTGTCTCAGCTACAACATATCTGAAGCTCAGCGTAAACGAACCTAAAACAACGGAGATTTTGCTTGCGAAAGACAGGAGTGTAGAATCCAGTTTTGAGAAAAAGTCGTGTCCCATAGAGAATACACGCAAAATGTAAAAAATTGACATGCCTCCTTTAATCGAAAAAATGAGCCATGATGCCTTTGTCAAAATGAAAAATTGTGGGCTCTGCATTTGTAGAGAATTGTTTCAACTAGAACATATCAAAATTTGAAAGAAAATCAATCAATATTTATAGAGATACAATCAATTTTCCAAAAATATGCTGACGTCATAATATGCAAATTGAAATTTTGAGTTTGGAGGCCATTATGATGACGTCATGAGTTAATTGAGGGTCAAATGTGACATGAAATCATATCTCCAACTCATAATCTATCCAAATATGAAAAAATATTGGGAGTTCCTATCTATTCTGAAGATTTAGAAAGAATTTGGTATAGGCATGTTTTTGTTCATGTATTGTGGATAAAGATAACGCAGGTCCGCGCGAGCTATCAACTTTGACGGACGCTCATTGCGTTATTAAAAGATGAACAAGGTATCAAAATGCTTGGAAAAATGTGCCAAATATGATGACAGAGAAAATTCTGCGATTCTATGTTGCAAAATGCTAGTACGCGCAAAAAACGCGCGCGCATGCGCGTGAGCATGATTTTTTGTCAAATGCTCCATATGGCCTGAAACGTATGCAAAAAAAAATTTGGGATGATTTAGAGCATTTTAAATTTTTGTGCGCACGTAAACGCGCGGACGAACGCGCACGCGCGCATTTGCTTACGTTTATTGACCTGAAATTGACCGGACGGATATTGATCTTAATCATGATAAATATGAATGAAAAATTGCTTTACGTTATGAAGATATGATCATAAGTTGATTTTCACAAAATGGCGCCTGGATGACGTCACGATGACTTTGACTCTCTGAAAAGTCATGCAGTTCTAAGTTAGACTAAGATCTATCATCATGGGAAGTTTCATGATAATGGCTTTATTCAATCTTGAGATATCCTGCGAACAAATTCGAGGAAGAATAATAAATAATAAATAAATAAATAAATAAATAAATAAATAATAAAAATCTTGACGACATAAAAGTAATCAGAGATTTTCTGGATGATTATTTATCTTGTGAAACGTACGTGAAGACCTGTTTTTGGACATGCACGGTCATGGGGAACGTAAGGAAAGCTAGTGATGATGAATATGAAATGAAAGATGTCAGCAAATACATGACAAATTGGAAATCCTGTGTGATTTTACCTGATAATCTTTGTATGATATATAGATATATCAATTTGCATACTATATGAAGGGTTGAGGGATCAAATTTGCACTTACTGTCTCAGGGAAGGGGTGGTGTAGAACACAAATATACACAATGCAAACACACACACACGGAAGCAATCTGGGAGTGATATTTTGTTGAGAAATTTCCTTGCGACTGGCCCACTCGACTTCCAAGACACAGATCAACTGGCTCTTAGACCGACCCTCTAGCCAAAATTTTGAGCAGCCAGTGAGGAAAACTCCTGCGGCAGTCCCTATGGCAAGTTTGCCCCTTAAAGATAAGGGTGAGTTCTGGTCGTGCAATTGCATTTTGAAAGAAATGGTGTGGAAGCGATTAGCGAATAATTAGTGATCATGTAGCACATCAGTTTTGGTGTATTGTGTGAGGTTTTGAGATCATCACTTTGAGTAGTTGACCCAGTCTTGCTAAAAGTCACTTTACATAGAAGGGTATATATGGGACTACACAAACAGGTGGCATCAAGGTAACCATGGTCCACAACCTCCGGCTATTACTTATCATATTGTGAATATAAAGGCATTTCAAGAGCCTTCCATTTCAGGGGACATTTTTCTTTGATACTCCACACAAACATAAAAAAATGAAAAAGCTCACAAATAATTGTTTACCTTTCCCAGCACTCAACCGTCTCTTTGACATACCAGTACATAAACATAAAGTTAACAACTGAATTAAGTTTGATGTTTTTTGTGTTTTTCGTAACTCAAAAATAAAAAGGAGGACTGGTTGAATTAGGGCCTTTGTTGGATACTTTAAGATGTAAGCTTTCACATTCTCAAGCAAAATGAATCAGATTTTTCACATACAAATATAAGACGAAGTTCAACAAATTCTAATATATATACTTCTTGCTACTGGAACTTCCCATTGCCTTTTAGATGGTTAACATGAAGAGATAACTGTGCTTTAAAAAGTTTATGATGTTTTTACATCTACCTTAGATCCACTTTCAGATCTAAGATAATTGAGCCATATTTGAATAAATAAATGAAAGGAAATGATTATTTGGTAAGAGATGCACTCATTGTATGATTCAATTCACCTCTAAGTAATATGGGATAGGATTGTCTTAAGTGGAAAAAGAGATATTTTAGCTCTATGAATTTGTTTGTTTTGAGAAAAAAATTGGCCTGAAAGTGATTATCGGGGGAGAGAGTGCTTTTCTGCAATGTACAGCATGATTAAAGTGGTACTACTTGAAGCTACTTGCGCCCTCTATATAGCAAAAAATGCGTAAGCGGTATCCGTTGGTCTCCCATGAACCCCTTTTTCTTATGTTAATTGAGAGCTGATTTGATGAGATAGCCACCTGTCGGTGACCAAGCAGGGAGGTCTAATTCCTTTTGGCCAAACTAGTGCAGATAGGCTTTAAGGAAACACCTAAAGAAAAGTTTTCACCAAGAGAGGTAAAAAGTTTGATAATTCTTTTCTTGTTTCATATTTTCTTGTAGTTGTAGTTGTGGAAAGTTTTTCGACGACCAGGTATGAGTCAAGACGGCTACTGCCACCACTGCCGAAGCCACATTTTTGTCCTTCTTTTTATTACCCTTAACATATTCTGGTTGTCTGTTTTTGGCCCTCTTTTCATTTACCTTCAAATTTGCTATTTTCTGGTTCCCTAATCCCATACATTTTGATATGTTTCATCTTTTAAATGAAAAAGTAGAAAAGATATTCCAATTTTATTCGTAGAAGGGATTAAGAATCTCACTTGACATACTTCCAGCCTCGTGTCAGTTTTAATCCTTAGAAAGGGCATTAAGGGATGCATCGTCTTTTATTATACTTAACCTTTTCATCCGCGTGGTGATGAATTGTATCTTTAAGTATAATTTTGTTCTCTCTCCGCTGATCATATTATTCCAGTGAAAACCTTTTAACTACTCAGTCAGGGCATCGAGGGGGAGACGCCTTTCAGGCTTTCTTCTTGTTTTTCATATCATCACCAAATTGATCTCTTTTCAATTAATCACATATAAAGAATGAGAGAGAGGGTTTTGAGATGTTCATCATGTATATCTTGAGGTAAATTCGTCCCTACATCAACCTAATTAATCAGTTTGCTTCTACATTTTTACTGATCCGAGAATTTGCGTTATAGCTGTGAGTAGTCTCGTGTGACTCCATTATTTTCTTCAAAGTTTCCTTTAAACAGTCTGAAATGGGAGCTAAAAATATTTACAGTTGGAGATTGGTATACTCCTCTTGACTGAATCGGTGATGAATTCCAAGTTATGATAATTTGGAAAGAAGAATATCTTTCTAAAAGAAACTGTATGTCTCGGACTTTTTTTATCAAATTGGACAGGATTTGATGCAGACGGATGGCTTGGCAGTGATGTAACATATAGTGTCTTTCTCTGAATCTAATTCATTAGTGTTTTGCCATTGCTAATAGGATTTCCTGCGATACCGCTATGTTATTCTTCTACCAATGTTTCATGCATTAACACTTTACACCCTGCGACCGTCTTTTTTCCCCCTCCCCAAGACCAATCTGAATGCACGGCCGGATTCATTAATCTAACTAATGCCGTATAAATGCCTAAATCAATCTTTGAATCGAATTAAGCAGATTCTGCCTGTCCTGCGATTGTAGCACTCTTACACTTATCTTTATTTCAACCTTCTTTTTGGCAGGTAAACGGAGTCTCTTTCACTTCTAAAAGACGGATAATCAAATTAGGCCCCACCAAAGAAATACTCCCGGATCACTATTCAAGGATGTTGTCGTGACGATGCGGCTCGATCGCAGGTGACAATCAAATCACGGGATAGGGGGAAAGCGCCGGTGTCAGTTTCCCACCCTTTTAGGGTAACTCCGGTTTTGATCTTATTATCTTTTTTTCTTTCGCCGGATAAAAGATATACAATTTCAATCTGGAAGCATTCTTTAGCATCTTAGAGAGTATAGTTGATGAAGGGGAGGGGGTGGGGGATGGATTGTTAGTCTAGCTTTGTGTTTGAGATGGGGATGGGAAATGATTTAGGGCATGAAAAGAGTTGACAAATTGTAAGCCTAAATATGAATGGGCTTTGATGATAATAACTTTGAAAGTCACCAAGATGTTTGTGGGCTTCTTCTCATCCACTAATTTGTTTGCGCTTGCTTCTGTATCTTTCTATAGGCTTTCATTGTGGATACCCAAAGGTGATAAGGTGCAGGGATTTTGGGTGATGTGGGTGTTCTGAACACTTCTTAATCCCTCCGTCATATTGTGCCTTGAGCACACTTTCTAGTTGATGCTGTTGATGTTCTTTTTATTATTATCATTAATAAAGAATTAAAAAAATGAATAACTGATATTAATGATTTATTGATGTTCATTATCATTATCTCTTATTATTATTGCAACCAAAACTTGAGATTTAATTTCAAATAATAATGGTAGAAACAGTGTACACAAAGTCAACAAAATTGTAGGAACTGATACATAAATATATGAATCATAATGTCCTACAATCAAATTATTACACATTATCAAATAAATCAATGTAAGCTCATGAGAACAATATTTTATAATTATTGTATTTAACAATTTATATCTTGTGCTTGTATACTGAGGCTGATAATAACCGGAGTAATTTTAGTTGTCAATCACCTTTTCTTGTGATTAGGACAATATTGCCAGCCTGTAAGCACATTTTTTTATAATATAATGCATTTCATCCAAGTTTCCTTTCTCAACCCAGGGAATGAATATATGAACAAGAGGAAGACATTTCTCTTGTAGCATTAGCAACTGAAGGAAAAAATGATAAGGCAAAATATCAAAGGGATTGATACAAAAATTAAGTTGAGAGGAACAGTTTCAATGGACAATCTTATTGTTCTTTTATATTGCCTGAATGAATTATTGATGTATTTTATGGGAGAAATATAAGGGAGCATTATGATACCTGAACATTTGATTTGGAGTTTATTTGTATCTGAAATGTGTGCTTAGTATGTAACATAATCCTTAGGTCATTTCTCTGGGGTTGTTCAGGACTCTGCTGTGTGTAGTTCATTACAGAGGTTAAAATAAATGATGACAACAGATGTATATACATATAAACATATTTATTCATTTCTGATATTAGACAATAATGGTGGTCTTCTGTGAGGCCCTGTTACAAATAATAAGGAACAATAGTTTTATAAAAATGAAAAATAATAATAATGCATAGTTGGCCTGGCTTTGGCTTAGATCTTACTGAAGACGAGAACCTCATCCTACCCCCCCCCCCCATTTCTGTTTACTGTCTATGCCATCCATCCATCAGCTTTCTATCTACCAGTCATTCAAATTATCATCAGTCTGGGGCATTGGTTACATGTGTGACCAAGCCACTAATACATGGTTTCTTCGCCCCTTGATGCGCAAACGACATTGATGCTATGAGCTCCTTGTTCATACACGGACTCCACCAGATTTACTCTGCGAGGAATGAGATGGAGGTAAAAAGGCAAGTCAGGGAGAGACATGGCCGACGGGGTTCCTCATATTACCTGATTCCTGCGTCCCGTTTATTTGATTACAGCGCTTCTCTGGCGTATCAGTAACACCTCCCCAAATAACTATTTTCCATATCAATAAAGACTTATTAGAGGCACAATACGCCACGGTAAATACATGCCTCAAACAAAATTGATAAAAGGATTCTCGATCCCCCCTCTCTCTCTCCCTCTCTCTCCCTCTCTCTTCATCCCTCTCTTTCTCTCTCCCTCTTTCTGTATCTTCATCTCCCTTTCTCTCTCCCTCTGTCTTCATCTCTCTCCTATCTTCATTTCTTCTCTTTGTTTCTTCATTTCTTCTCTTTGTTTCTTCATCTTTCTCTCCCCTTCTCTCTCTCTCTCTCTCCCTCTCTTTCTTTCTGTCTGTCCATCTACCTCTCGTTCTATTTCATCCCTCCTGACACCCCTCTTTCCTCTGGGCTCCTGTAAATATATTAATCCCGGCCCTAATCAGTGTAATTGTGTGTGCCGCGAGTGGGGAAAGTGATACAGTGCCGGCGTGAATCGCCAAAAGTGACGGTTGTCTTGAAACTGCCCAATCATAATAGACCCACCCCTTTACCGGCGGGGGTTGGCAACTGAAGATGGTGTCTTTTAAGTCTCACCCCATTCACACTACCAAATTTCATTGTATGGTTTTATGAAAACTATGCAGCTATGCGATAAGTAGTTTATATTTTCTAGTCTGAATGTCTTATTATAAACATGAAGCAAAATGCATGTTTGAGCATCGTTTCAGATAAAAACTCAATAAAAAAAAAACATGTTACGCTTCTCATCTAAACATCGTATTGCATGTATTAAAACTATTAAGTGGGCAGGGCTCATCATAAGCATACACTGATCATTTGTCAGCTGCCATGTGAACTGACCTCTTTGAAACTAGTTTCTGTATACAACATTTCTATAAATATATACCAGTACAAGATTATCTAGGCTTTGTGCCCCTTTTGCAATATGATGATTCTTTATACGTTTCTTTATTCGAGTGTTTACTCCAGTCCGAATAACCTATTGATGGAGTATAGTTCTACATCACCCATCCAACTCAGATGGGATTTGTCCTAATATTATTGTGTTCCACTTATTTACAAAGGTATACAGCAGGTAATCCACTTCCAGTCTATTTTCCTTTTCTGCCAAGATTAATAAAGATAACTTCCGGAGGCAGAATTGTTATTTGGAGCATTCCGAGTTGGTTGTCGATTTTCCCTCTTGAAAGTGACAGTGGTTATTTGATATGATGGAAGGAGGTTTCACAATTATATCATATATATATTGTTTGAACAGAAATAGGGAATATTAAGTATATATACAAAGGATGTAAGACACTTTTTAATCAGTCAATTATTTATTGTGTGCTTTGTGAAGATCTTCAGGCTTTAAAAGGTCAAATGTTTCATGACATGTTTTTCGAAAACTTGCATCAAATCCCTTACACATTTATTGCCAGTCCCAATAAGCAATGTTTTTTTCTTCTCCAGTACAAAAGTAGCAAGATCTTTTTTTAAATTGTTGTAATTTCTTCTTTGGGTTAAACGGATAGTAGTAAGCGATTATGATATGAATTCCATTTTTAATTTTTGTGTTCTTGATAATGAGACTCTAGCCATTCTTCCTGTCTCCTCTCCTCCTTTTGTAAGGCCGGTATCATTTCAAGCTCTGCTTACGATATCGGTCTTCTGCATTCTCCCCCTTTTCTTTCTTTTCAAATACAATTAATTGTACTATTGATTATTTATATTTATTTATTTGTGAATTACTACTTGTATTACTTATCATTATATTGCTAAAATGTATTCATTGTTATTTTTGTTATTGTTTATGGAAAATGCAGAAATAAAACTTGAAACTGAAAACTGAAAACATTCTTCAGGAGTAGACAGGTTTTATTGTTCATTGATGAATTTTGTTTGAATATCATCCATGTGAACACCTTTTTATAATGTTTTACATTATATGTAACTCCTTTTTTTTGTCAAAAAGTAAAGTATGATATTCAGTCCAAACTAATATTGGGATACTTACATTCTTTGGTTGTCATTGCTGTACACAACATAGAAAGGGTTTGATGTAAGTTTCCCATCTTCAGTTTGGACTAAAAATCAATTATACAAGCTTGATATGCTATAGACTTTGTATGCATTATTTCTGCTATATGAAATGACAAGGTTAAGTATGTAGCATCAAAATATGAGTACGCTTGAAGTTGAGACAGGTATTACACCCTTAAGATCTTCACAAAATATATCACTCTCAATCAAAATCAATCGAATTTTTGACCGGAGGCTCTCGTTCTTGCGCATTCCTTGCCTCGCGCTTGCCGCGCTTAGCGGGCACATCCAGCATCCTGACGTCTCCTCCCCCTCTAGTTCTTGATCCAATTGACGGCAGGGCGGATTGTTCGCGCCAAATTGTCCAACAAAAGAGAGAGGCGTTGGGTGACTGTCAGCTATTCATCTAACAGAAAGGGTCCCAAGGCACTGCCGGGGCAAGGTGCTGTGTTATTGTTAAGGATGGAATTATGTTGTTGATCTATTTTGAAAGGCAACACTCCCTTTTTTAAGAGATCCTTTGACAGCTCTTAAGTACTGGGCACATCGTAGAACAGAATTTTCCAAAGGTTTTAGTGAATCAGCTCTAAGCTTTCTCAAATTGACACCAATTATATTTTGTTTTTTCTTGTTGATCTATTTTGTAAGGTACTATACAACACCCGTTTTGTTGAAAACCTAATCAGCTCTCACTGAGCGAATCAAGGAACAGAATCTTTACATTAGCTTTTATATTTTCATTGATGTTGATCTATTTTGAAAGGCGACACTCCTTATTACGAGCTTTTAAGTCATAAAAGAGAATTCTCCAGAAATAGTGAATCAGCTCTTCTGCAAATTGACAGCAATTATGTTTCTATCATCAATCCATTTAGAGAGCTAACACGCTTTGTATAAAACCCTATTGAGCAGCGTTTAGTGAGCTTGTAGAGCAGAATTTTTCACCAAGATTTCAAAGGAATATTATTAGCTTTTGAAGCTCATCAATGTCATCTTCGCACATTTCCATAGGTGACGCACAAGGCTTTTGAAATTGCGTTATGTTGATTTTTTTTTCAAAAGTTGTTGCTACCTTGTTTTATGTCAATTAATACTGATGGCAATTTTTTCGGTCAAATTTTTGATGCCATAACCTTCCTTCTTTTGAATTCAGCTTGACAATACCCGTCGTCTGATGGGAGTATTGCGACGTGACATTTCAGG